CAAGCATGAAAAGATGAGCCCATTTGAAAAAAAAATCAAGTTTGGTCAATATTGCCTTCATGCACTTTTTCCAAAAATTGGTCAACTTTAGAAATGCATATCTCTCTCATTTTTAATCCTAAGAGGGTGTTCTTGGACTTTTTAGAGAGCTTAGATGTCCTATAAACAACCCTTTTGGTTTCATCTCAATTGGATCTTCCATGTTCATGTAAGGGGATTTGACCCAAAAGGTATTTTTGTTGACTTTTTGAAAGGACCTATAATGTCTGAATTAATAACTTTTCATGAGTATATTTCTTGAACTTGAGGGATGAAGATGAGTTTTAGGTAATTGAATTCTATTCAAAATGAGCATTGGATGGGAAATTTCTGATAAAGTATGAGAAAGTTATGCATGGTCAAAATTTGGTTGATTTTTCCTATAGAAATCATAATTTAGCAACTTTTGAGTTTTCATGAATTTGGGGAATTCCTTGAGGAATCAAGATCATACCCTTATCAAATTATGTATGTTACTTCAAAATGTTGATGTTGACAAAAAATATTGAAGTTTGACTGTATGTGGGTCACAATTGACTTTTGACCTAGTATAAATAATTTTTAGGCATTTGAGCAGTTGACTGAGCAAACTTTTTGTGCTAGGCATGAAACTTGACATGGATAGTCTTGAGAACATATTAGGACCATGTAAAAGATTTGAGACCTTTGGAGTTCACATATCTTGATAAAAGTGGAAACCCTAGTTGAAGGTTCATTGCCTTATGAGAGAATTTGTCTGGCTAATTCTTGGGCATCCTTGAGCAAGTTGAGGACTTCAATGAGCATGTGTTGAGTGAAATGAGAGAGAAAATTTTGTGGTACAACAGAATGCTTGAGCTTGTTTCTTTTCATATATCTATTGTAGTGTCTAACGAATAAACCAATCCCCTATTCTTTAGCATCTTCTTTATCAGAGTTGTCACTTTCTTCCTTTGAATTCTTCACTTTAGACGATGAATCTTTCAAAGAAAGATCTTGTTTCTCTTTTTTACATTTATCTTTCTTTTTCGGTTTACTTCATTATCTACCAGTCGTTTCAGTTCATTTTCATGCTCGAATAACTTCTCAAACAACTTTATAATATCAAAAGTATTAAGATTGTTAGATTCCTTTATAGCAGTAATCTTTGTTTGTCACTTTCTGTACATAGATCTCAATATTTTGTTAGTATAATCTTTGTTAGAAAAGGTTTTTACCTAACTTACTTAGTTTGTTGATTAAGTGAAGGAATATAGTTTGCATGAAATTCACAAACTCTCTGGGTTCCATATGAAATAGTTCAAATTCCTCTATAAACATGTTGGTTTTAGAATCTTTGATGTCATCCATTCTCTTATAGAGAGTTGGAGGGTTGGTGGGAGCAGTGTGGGATGACTTCTCAGTGGGTCTTGTTTAGAGATGTATCTTATCATTGTTAGACAACTCTTAGATATTCCCATGAGTTATTGAACCCAAATCCTTTTACATTCAACAACCATTAGCTTGCTCATAGTAATATGGCTGAGGTGGTCAACTCTAGCTACGTCGACTATATGTCCTTTAGTATAAATGTTTTATTTCTCAAAGAGAGGCTAAGTTCAGTCAAAGGTGTTTCGAAAACTCGAAATAAATATCTATTTGGTAATCTTGATCTCCAAATTGACTTGTAGAGTAAAGAGGTAAGTAATTCATATTCTAAAGATCATCAGAGATTTCAATCGGTTGAGGAGATTACTTCTAGGACGTGAGCATATTAGAGGTTATTTGGCTTTTGTTAAGGACCAAAGATTTTCAATTATTTTAGAGGTCTAAAGCTAAACGACTTCAGGAGAGAGATGTAACACTAATATTTTCCATGTATGTGTTAACAATAGAAGTAGGAAAAAATGATATCTTAGCGCTTAAAGTTGATGATGCTTGGGTTAAAGGGGTTTATAAGATACTTTGGGAGATAGTTAGTTTTTTCTCTAGTCATTTTATGGAACATCTTGCTAATCGGCCTCAACTAGACATGGTTTCCTTCCGCACGCTTTTTATAGAGGATTGTGCCACTCTTTTTACTCATTTTCTCCTCTCTTAAATTTATTGGGCGGTTGCTCGGTGTGATGGTAATAAAATCCCTGAACTTGATGAGTTCAATTTCTCCTTTTTGAGAGGATTTTGACACTTTCTTAGAAAGGATTTGAAAGTGATGTTTGACCAATTCCATTGTTTTGTCTCTTTACCTGTAGCTTATCCTTCTATTATCACATTGATTTCAAAAGTTCAAGTCCCCTACTGTGTGATTTTTTGGCCTATCTCTCTAATTTTTTTTTTAACATACTTGTCGTTAAAGTATTAGTAGCCAGACTAGCTGAAGTCATGAATACGTGTCTTTCTATTTATCAATTGACATTCTAAAATTATATTTTATAGAAATATATTGCTTATATTTCATTATACGTGTTTTATTGTACTCCTTATGTCACATAAAAAGTGTTTAATATATATTTTTTATGTCTTAAAATATACGTCTCTTTATAATACCAACACAATATTTATTAATATCTTCATAATAATTTATAAGCAAAAAAACAGTCATTTTTGTTACAAACTATAGAAAAAATTATTAAATTTTATTTCATTTAAGTATTTTATTCTAAAAAATTCATATTTTCTAAGGTAAAATTAAACATAAATTCAATTTAACTTAGTTTCTCCTTCTTTTAACAATCAATTAAAATTGCTTTTACATCTTTTCAGTAAACATATCTAAAAAAACACAAAAATTAAAACTTTCTTAATAAGTATAAAATATTAATTCTTTTTCTTTACAAATTGTTATAAAGAGTGTATTTTTTTCATACTTTATTCAACTACTTCATTAACTATAATTAATAAGGAAATTTTAGTAAATGGTATTTTTATTATTAAAATAAATATATGTAATTGTTCTTTAAACAAACACACATATCTTAAATAAAAGACTTATTATAAAATTTACATCTCAAATAATTTGTCACTTTAGAAGAACATGACACCGTTTTAGAGCCGTTTTTAAGGTGTGACAGAGAGTTTACATCATAAAATCTCACATTTTTTATTAAGATATGAAAAAAATGCATTCATACACAATTTTGATCGTCCTATTTTATTTAATTTATAAATTTGGTCTCACTATTTTAAATTTAAATAATTTTAATTTTTCTTATTTTAACTTCAATCAGTTTTAGTCCTCCTCTTAATATTTTTCTTCATAAAAGATCAATAAGATATTTTATTTTTAAACTTATATTGTTATCTACAAAGTTCAATAATAAATTTATATACAATGATTATCATGTTTTACAAATAATTTATTATTTAAAAAATAAAAAACATCATTACTTTTAAATGCAAAAACATTAGAATGAGATCAAAACAATTTAAATTTAAAATTAAAAAATTAAAATTGTTTAAATTTAAATTAAAAAGACTAATTTTATGAATCAGACAAAATAGAAAGATTAAAACTGTAATTAAACCTAATATAAAATATATATTATCATTCGTACCAATGAGTTATTAAATATTTTTTTTGTTGACCCATAGTCATCATTAATGTCATGCGATAAACTAAATCATAAATAATGTCTTTTTTTTTTATTGTAATTAATACGAGACTAAATGGTAATTTACAATACTACCTCCTTACCAATTTTTTTGATATTTTGCCAATTTTACATCTTATAAACATAATTTATTTTATAAGAAAAATAAAATGTGTAAGTTTGTTTATAAATTATATTTTATTATTATAAAAGAAATAAATTAAAAGAATTGAAAAAATAGAAATTATTTAAACAAATGATAAAAAGATTAACATTAATGAAAGTTGATAGTATTGTAATATGATTTATAATTTAAAATAACTTTTTTCAAAACAATCTATAATTAAAATATAGGGAGTTAACTATTTATGATTATATTACTTTTTCTTATTTAATAAATTATGATCAAAATTTCACTTTTTAATATAGTTGAGTATTCTTGCGTAACTACTACAAATATCAAATGAGTTGGTTTAATACGATATGAAGAATTTTGTAAGTATGCACTTGAGTGTTCTTTAATAGTAACATTAAGAAGAATTTTGTTTATGTTTATATAATATATGATCATGGTCGTTAATTACAAACAAGACAAAATTTTGTATGAACAAGACAAAATTTACTTTTATCAACCTTCACCAACCGATTCAAACCAACCCAAAAAGTTAAATAATAAATGATATTAATAAAAAATGATAAATTACTTCATTAAAGTAATAATCTTTATGAGCAATCTTAGTAAATAGATTTAAAATAAAAAAAAACTAATAATAAAAAGTACATGTCTCCAAAGCAGTGGTTTCAAAAAATGTATGAACCCAAGTTTATATTTCTGTGGGTATCAACATTTGTATTTATACATATATCTTATAAATATTTAAATATTCATATTCAAATTTATTTATCTGCATTTCTATTAAAAATTATTGATTAATCGTAATTTATCATGTCGTAATATAAAAAAAAAAATTATGATTGAGTTAATAAATAAATTAAAATTTATATTAAAATATGTACAAATTTAATAGAGAGGTATTGTATGTATGTATATAATAATTAAAATACAAAGATATAAATATATATTATATTAAAATATGTGGCGAAGTGAGTATTGATATAATCGTATATGCGTTTATATTCAAATTATTTTAGCGGATAATTATCCGTATCTATATTTTTACTTATATTTGTGAGTTTTTATCGTATTTAAACGTGGTCTACTTACAAAAGAATAGTTTGGATAAAACTTTTAACATTAAATATTATGATATGAACATATTTAAACAAATAATATGATTTCCAATTAAGCTACAACACTTTTAACTTTCCATTTTTGTGTGTATACATTTAGCTTTAAATGCTATGAGTTATGAAGCCTATTGATGCATTTGTTATTCTGTAATAATTCTGCAAATGGCACTATCACTCTCAAGCACCATGCTCCTTTACAAATTGTCACTCGCTTTTTCTTCACAGAATGTTGAAAACGGGACAAGTGACAACGAAGGTTCTGATACTGGTGATGATATTGTGTTTGATATTGATCCTAGTTTGCTTGTGGATTGTGAGAAAATACTCATCGGTGGCATGATTGGAAAAGGCTCGTACTCTCTTGTATTCAAAGGATGGTTAGTACATATACTTTCTCCTATTAATTATGTTTAATTTCGTGACAAATGCAAATTTGCTAATACATGCATTAGTTGCAATAGTGTCCCTTTCGATCAAGATCTGATAATTAAAAAGAATATGTTTTTTAATTTTTAAATTATGATTTAAAACATAAAATTTAAATATTATTTGATATTGATTGAACCATCACTAATGGACGTGGAATTTGCATCCACTTATGACTAGCTCCTTTCCGTAATTGAATTTATAGTTTTTTGTTGTGATTGTGAAATATAATTTTTTTTATCAATCATTATAAAGTTTATCTAAGATTTGTTAACTCGAGTTATATTTCACATGTTAGTTTTATATCAGAGGGTGTATTGCAAATTTTAATAGGATGAGATTTTTAGGTCATTAATTTGGAGGTCATTGTGATTTTTCTTTATGAGTAAAATACATTGTAAGAAACCCATTAAATATTCACCTAAAATTTTAAAGTGATAGATGTGTGAGTTCTCTTATTTATAAAACAATTTCTATTTTTCTAATTAATGTGAGATTTTTTCACATTTCTTTCTCAACATTCAACTCACACTTGTTTTTCTCAACACTTCCTCTCAAGTGTGAGTCTATCGATAATGCTTCCCTTAAACGAAAGCTCTTTCATTCACATACATAGATGTCTCATATACCCAGCACCATGTAGGGAGGACTTTTGATACAAGTGAGCCAATATTTTACCGAAAACAACAACTCATGATACTAGTGTTAGGTCATCAATTTGGAGATCAACACGAGGGATCATTTTTATTTTGGAAATTTCTTTATGAACAATACACATTGTGAGAGATACATTACATATTCACCAAAAAAACCTTAAGGTGTTTGGTATGTGAGTTCTCTTACTTATAAAATGTCCAATCTCTACTTTTCTATTCAATGTAGGCTTTCCCACACTTGTTTTTCAACATTTTCAACTCACGCTTGTTTTTCTCAATAGAGATAAGACATCAATTTTTAAATGATGGTATCATCGCCTTTCAAATTGATTTTATATAAATATTGAATTAAACACTGTTGAGAAACAAATGTGAGTTTTAAGTCTCACATTACTTAGAAAAATGAAGGCCGGATATTTTATAAGTGAGATGACTCATACACCTATCACTTTAAGATTTTTGGTGAATATGTGGTGTATCTCTCACTTATTTGGGTGAGTCTTTGACGTTTAAGTGAGTGTTTGATCCAATGTGAAAGTTTTACTCACATGATGGTTGTAAATGTCGTGTCTCGTTGTAGTGCCAATGACGGGTAACCCTTGTATCGAAAGTCTTTCTGACATGATGGTGGTTAGGTGATGTGTCCCGTTGTAGTATCCATGATGAGTAATGACGTAATGGTTGTCAGATGTCGTGTCCCGTTATAGTGCCCATGACGAGTAATTCTTGTATCAAAAGTGTTTCTCATTACATGGAAATGTGAAGGTTGAACACTTTATAAATAAAATGACTCATACACCTAACATCTTAAGATTTTTGGTGATTATGTGGTGTCTGTCACTAGTCTTTAACCTTTAGGTACATATTTGATTTAATATAAATGTTTTTCCATCGTGATAGCCTATCACACTTCATATATTATATTATTGTTTTCAGATCTTATTTATCAATAATTTAATCATGACAAATTTTAATTTACATAATAGTTTTACTCTATACACTCTTAAAGATTAGTGTAACAGAGAGTTATGTTTAAATTATAATTTTTATTTATTTTACCATAGTTGAACTCAGGCAAACCCACACATAATTTTGAAAAACTTAAGAGAAACTCCGACATCTCTATAAGTTATACTATCATTTTTATTATTATTTTTTGAAACCACAAATATTTGTGTCGTAACATAAAGGTTCATAACTAATTTCAGGTATGAAGGTCATCCTATAGCCATTAAGGCTATACACCCACAATGTAAAGCCAAATTTGAGAGAGAGGTTAAGCTTTTATCTAAGATTCAACATGCAAATGTTGTCAAGGTATTCTTTTATACAACACAAGTTTACTAGATTTTGATATTACTAGATAATAATATATATTTTTAAATTAATCAAAATATTTCTGTCTAAATTTTCAAAGTTAGCTAGATAATCAAAATTTTAAAATTTATTTTGTAGTTTATTGGAGCTTCTGTGAAACCATCTATGGTGATAATAATAGAACTTTTAGAAGGTGGATCACTTCAGAAAACCATGAATAACATCTATCCAATAACATTTTCATTGGAACAATGTTTGAGTTATGCTCTTGATATTTCACAAGCTATGGAGTATTTGCATTCAAATGGCATTATTCACCGTGATCTTAAGCCTGGTAATTTAATTTAATATATTTTCTCAAAATATAATATTTTATTTGTAATTAATTAGTATTTTTTTATTTCTAGGTAATTTATTACTTACAAAAGACAAGAATAATATTAAGCTTGCTGATTTTGGGATAGCTAAAGAGAATATATGTGATGAGATGACTTGTGAAGCTGGTACATATAGATATATGGCTCCTGAGGTATATATCTATATATTCATTATTTTCTGTGATTCAAATTATCATGCATGTTTTTGTGTGTATATATATATATGGCTCCTGAGGTGTATATCTTATATTTGAATGCATTATGTAGATTTTAAGCAAAGATCCACTTCCAAAAGGAGTAAAGAAAAGCTATGATCACAAAGCAGATGTTTTTAGTTTTGCAATGGTTCTTTGGTCTATGATCAAAAATCAAGTTCCATTTAAAGATAGGGCTGACTTAATGGCTGCATATGATGCATTACACGTATGCAATTCATTAATTCTTTCAATGATTTTTTTTACATAATCTTTTAATAGAATTTAAATTTAAATTATAATTCACTTCATTGAATGTTGTTGTTGATCATGGTTGCAGAATTTGAGACCATGTTTGGATGATTTTCCAGAAGATATAACTCTCCTGCTTCAATCTTGTTGGATGGAAGATCCAAAACTTAGACCAGAATTCAAAGAAATCAGTGAAATTCTGATAACGATTCTCCATAATATATACACAAGAAAGATTAATGGACTTGCCAGCATAGAAGTTGTTGAAGAAGTTGATAGCAAAAGTGAGGAAGAATTATCAAGGGCACAACATACTCCAACTAGCTTTGAATTCAAACATGAGAATGAGACTGTAAAACCTAATGGAGAAACTGATGGTGAACCTCAGAGTGGAACAAAGACATCATTCTCTAACTTGGTGGAAAAGAAGCCCAAAAAGAAGAGTAAGATCAAGCGTTTTTTTTCTTCCTGTAGTTGCATTGCCTTCTGATATGGCAAGGCACAATGTTGCATGCATGGATTATTGAATTTCTTTCTAAAGGATTCTTTTTTAAGGTTTTTTGTTTTATCGTTGTTTTTTTGTGTTATACTAGTACTGTAGTACATAATATTACAAAAAAGGACCATTATGGTAATATTCCAATAACAAATAATATTTTGGTGTGTATAAATTAGTGTTTTTTTTTTTGTTTTTAGTTCTTAATCTATTTTTTTAAATACTCTGAATATTAAAATTTTTGGATTTTAGTTGGAAAATAAGTTTGAGTTATGTTGAGAAATAGTTGTTAGGAAAATATCAAAAAAAAAAAAACAAATTTCTTAAGCATACCCACAAAAGAATTAAAAAGCAAAAAAAATTCAAAAATAAAACTCACCATCATAATAAAACTTGTAATTTTTACGGACAAAATTACAAGTCCTTCCAAACAATTACAATTTTTAAGGAGAAAAATTGCAAACCTTTCAAACTATTTTAAGGAGAAAATTACAAACTCTCTCTCAATTGCAACCTTTGAACGGAAAAATTGCAAACCATCTCTTAACTGCAATTTTTGAACGAAAAAATTGCAAACTCTCTCTCAACTATAATTTTTTAACGTAAAAATTGTAATCCTCTCAACAAATTATTTTTTAACGGAAAAATGGAAAACCCTCTCAACAAACAAATAGAAAACTCTCCTAGACACACAACTAACCAAATCCCCAATACAACCAAAAAAACTATATTTTGTTGTTGTGTAAAAAACTTAAACTAACTATCTCTATTTATATTAATACTTAAATTTGATTTTCTCCCTACTACCCGATGTGAGACTTGGATGATTAATATACTTAATAACCCAACAAAGAAAGAGTAACAAGAAATTCAGATCCAACGAAAAAGAAAGAGTAACAGAAAAAAATTAATCGAGGGAGGAAGAAGTCAAGAAAATTGAAGAATAATAATTTTACAAACGTGACTAATAATTATAATTATAATGATCGTTTTGAAGATGAGGTCGATGAAGATGAAGTTGAAGATAACGTGAAGATATGTGAGACTTTGGATGAAGAGGGAATTTGTTGGATTAAAAAGTGTATTCATCCAAGTCCCATATCGAGTAGTAGGAAGAAAATATAATTTAAGTATTAATATAAATAGAGATAGTCAGTTTGAGTTTTCTATACAACAACAAAATATAGTCTTTTTGTGTGTATTGGGGATTTAAGTGTTGCAATTGAGAGAGGGTTTACAATTTTCTCCTTAAAAATTACAGTATGGAGGGTTTGCAATTTTCTCCTTAAAAATTGCAATTGTTTGGGAGGGTTTGTATTTGTCCTTGTAAAAATTACAAGTTGAATTATAATTTTGTGAGTTTTATTTTTGAATTTTTTCTTTTTTCTTCTTTTGTAGGTACGCTTTCGCTAATGTAGAAATTTGTTTTTTTTATTGTTTTCTCAACATTAGTGGTATCAGTGCCATGTTTGAGTAAGAGACCAACTCCTTGTGTCGAAAGTTCTCATGACACGGTGATTAGGCGGCATGTCTCGTTGAAGTGTCCATGACGAGATAACGGTGTTTCTCAACGACGGTACAAGTATCTGGATGAAAGAGTTTCCGCTTGAGGGGAAAAATATTGGATGAACTCACACTTGAGAGGAAGATTGTTGGAAAACAAGTGTGAGTTATGTTGAAAAACAAGTGTAAGTTCTAAATCCCACACTGCTTAGAAAAATGAAGGTTGAACACTTTATAAATGAGAGGACCCATACACCTATGACCTTAAGGTTTTGGACGAATATGTGGTGTCTCTCTCATTTATTTGAGTGAGTCTTTGATCTTTATAGGAGTGTTTGGTCCAATGTGAATGCTTCCCCCTCATGATGACCCATCAAGAGGAAAATCTGCAGGTTTTCTATGAATCTTCCTACGATTTTTTGTTGTTGTGAATTTTAACGTTAACGATTAAAACTAAAACAATTAACATTTAGAGACTATTTAAAAAACACATTAGGGACTAAGACTAAAAACACACTAACTTACATGGATCAACATACTATTTAAGTCTATTCCAATTAAAATAGTGTATGGATCGATCAAATGTGTTACGATTATTTTAAAGATATTGTTTTCTTTTCATTATATCATTTTATTTTAATTATGGTAGAATGTTTCCTTTTCACTATATCATTTTGAACCCATAGTTGATTTGAAACATGTTTCCAAACTAGTGATTGAGGATCTTGATTTTTCAAAAGTGCAAATAGGTGAATTCCATAAAAGGTCATAAACAAAAAAAATTATATTGGCTCATTTATCTACACATGGATCTTTTTATGTAAAAATATGAGATATCTTGAGTATAAAAAAAATATAGTTTGTAAAGTATTCTTCTATTTAATTAAAAGACATCAATTAACAATATTTATATTAGAAAATGCATGAATGACCATCATTGAGTCAATGGATAATATTCACATGAAATACAATAAACATAAGGATATTTCAATTATTAAGGGAGACTATTTTTTGTGATTACTAAAAGAGGCTATTTGATCTCAATTATAATTCTTATAGTTAAGCTGCTTGTAGGGTAGTATTTACTGAGTGGTTTTATGGGAAGTTTTCTGGAAAGCATGTGAGTAAGAACAAAGTATGTTGAAAAGACCCATGTTGATTTGTGGGGTCAGTCGATAATCTTGAAATTAGTATGTGGCATTACAAATCCAACATACACAATCACCTCTATAGGCGGAAATGATCCCCCATTGGGAGATCCAACATATATAATTGCCTCTATGAGCGGCAAAGATACTCCCTTGGGAGTCCATCATACATAATTGCCTCTATGGGTAGCAAGGATCCTCCCTTGAGGATTTATCATACATAATTACCTCAATGGGCGGCAAGAATCCCCCCTTGGGGTATTTAACATATGTTATTGTCTCTAAGGGCGACAAGGATCCTCCCTTGGGGGATCCAACATGCATAATTGTCTCTGTAGACGGCAAAAATCCTCTCTTGAGGGATCTAACATACATAATTGCCTCTATGAGTGGCAAGAATCCTCCCTTGGGGATCTAACATACATAATTGCCTCTATGGGCTGAAAAGATCCTCCCTTAAGGGATCCAACATATATAACTTCCTCTATAGGAAGCAAGGATCCTCCTTTGGGGGATTTAACATATATAATTGTCTCTATGAGTGGCAAAGATCCTCCCTGGGGGGATTCAACATACATAATTGCCTCTATGGGCAGGAAAGATTCTCCGAAGGATGAGATCCAACATATATAATTGCATCTATGGGCGACAAGGATCCTCTCATGGGGTATCCAACATACATAATTTCCTCTATGGGCGACAAGGAATATTCCTTCTTGCTTTCAGGCTCCATCGTGTTGTGAGGTCATATGGGAAGCTTCCTTGCTCACGTCTGTAAACCCCGATTTCGTTGAATTATTTTATTTAAATTAGAGATGATGTGATCTATTTGTGCATGTTAGAAAATATTTTGTTTATGGTGATGCATTTGTTGGGAATTAGATGTCTTAGATATTATTGGAGTTGAGATAATGGGGGTTGTTGTACCCCAAAATTTGCCCTTGCACTTTTCCACAAGAAATCTCAGCTTCAAACATTTCCTGACTTTTCAAATTGGCTCAAGAATCGGACAAACGGACTTTTCTTGACAGTCAAGCAGAATTAGGGTTTTTACTGATTTTCAGAGCTCTGAATTGTTTCATACAGTGGGCTTAGGGTTTGGTTGATTTTTGGTTCAATTTTGATCAAGCGAGCGTGATTTGGCATTTAATCGGGAATTAAGGTTTTATGGGCATATTCTCAGAAGAATTTGAATTCCACCGCACTTTGCGGTTTATTTCAAGATTCGGATTAAAAGTCGCGTTATCTTGGTTTAATCAGTAAAAGAGACAGTAGTTTGAATTCAGTACGTTTTGATTGGGCCAGTCATATACCAGATGCAGTATTGGATTCACAGTGTTCATGTGTTTGATCAGTCTATCTGGGTTAATTGCTGCTTTGCTTTGGATGTTGGATAAGACAGGTTTATTGGATCAATGTTGTTTTATTTTAGTTATTTATTATTCTGAAATTAAATGATTGAATTTATTTTTCAATTGTTTTAATTCTAAGAATTTTAAATAAATAAATAAGCAATAAAGAAAGTTAGAACCAATTGGATAATTTGATTTTTATTGATATTCGAATTATTTGTACAAATTGTTGTTACAGACAATAATTTACATTTAATTTAAATATTACATAGAATGAAAAAACTATCCTATTTTCTAAATATTCTTCGTGCTTCATTCCGCTCCGGTATTCCATTTTTTCATCTACAAAAAGAACAAGAAAAGTCAGAAAGCATTAAATTGGAAAAGACAGTAAAAGTTGCTCATCATTAGGGGCCACTGACTGGGATCAGTTGACCCTCTCTGCAAATCACGGGATTTCTCCCGGTTCACAGAGAGGGAAGATTATTCTATTTCATGAATGCAAATGCAAATGCATAAGTCATAAATTTCAAGCTGCATAGAAATCCAAAATCCAAACTAAACTGAAAAAGTTCAATCCAAACTTTCAATCCAAAACAAAGTCCACTCAAAGAAAATCAAGGAAGTACATTTGCTGTCACAAGCTCAAAAGCTGTCATGGAAAGATTTTTGCCAAGATATCAAATGCAAAGTCAGACACAAACTGTCAAAAGAGAGATAAAGGAGATGCAAAATGTGTTATGCAAGCAACAAACATCTTAATTCATCACTTCCCATCATAGCCCCTTCAGAAAAGTACAAATAATAATCATATAAAATTCTTAAATTGTACTGTAAAGAGAGAAGTAAAGAGAGATAAAGCAAGCAGGGTTTAGGCATAGTTCAGGTTCAGCAGTCAGAATGGACAGCAGAAAAAAAAGATTATACAAATCAAAAGCCAAGACTGAGTTCAGATAGCAAGCAGCAGGCCAAGACAGTTCAGGAAAGGCAG